TTCTCAACACTCCTATTCCCGATCCTCATCAGCACATCCTGCTTTATTTGCAAGAGCAGAGCTGTAACAAGGGCAAGGTAGGGGAACCCCTAGTCAGATGGCATAAGGACAGCAAGCTACAGGCAAGACGGCCAGTAGCACTTGGAAAAGGCACAGGGAGAAGGGCAACTCAGTCATCAAGATACCTCACAACAGCTCTGCTCCAGGTGTCCCTTAAACATGAGTTAATAGGAGGGCTTGTTGGGTTTGCTCTGAAATCAACATGTGAAAGGGATCTGCTTCCCCAGTTTTCTGGGACCTCTGTCTTAGAAATGTTCAAGACCCTCTTAACAGAACCTGCTGAATCAGTTTGGATACACGTGATATTGGGACACATATGCACAGACTCATCCACTTGCTCACAAACCAGCAGTGCCATGGCTTGCAAGATCCAAATTAGAGTGAAGATACAGAAAGGCACGTACGTACCTGAAGTGGGTGAAACTGTGATGCAAAATGTTGCTTCCAAGAGAAATCCAGCAACCTGTAAAAACTTACTAATATGTTTGATAAAATCAGAAATTTATCATGAAAACTCCCCCAATATCTTTCCTTTTTGGGAGGGGGGGATAAAAAAAATTCAGTTTGATTTCCTTTCCCAGTACCGAATCGATCACCCAGTTACCTTGGTCCTGGGTGTCACCTGAGGCTACCCTGGTTTGAGACACTCTTCATGAGGACCTAAACCATGGTATAAGGAGGCTTGGTCTCCTGAGCATCCCAGGCCCTCATGGGGAAGCCAGGCAGTCTTGGATAGGACAGCATCTGGTAGACTGGCTTCTGCTGGAAGCTCATCTGTGTTCTGGAAAGAGTTTGTTGACATGCATGCGTCTGGGTAATTTTACTTTTTTTAGTTCAGATGAATCAGCAGATCCAAGTCCAGAAGCTGTGTAAGTTAAAAAAAAATGCCAATCTACAGACCTGATTTCACAAATGTTTTAAATCGAGCTCTCATCTATATCAACCCCTAAAATGTTGTCCACTGCTAAAGTGTAAAGCATCCTCTCATGGTTATTTCTCTGTCTCAGCACTCAAATGTACAGTTAATCCTTGTGCTAGAACAAGTTTCCTTCTGATATTCTTTGGTGGAGTGTGATACAACCGACAGATACTGACATTTAAAGCAACATCGGCGGTGCTCGTTGTGGTGGACAATCCCTACCACACAGCTGGAGTCAAAGGCTCTCAGCAAACTGAAGCATTTCAGTAGCAACTTCCACTTAAAACTATAACAGCTTGAACCTTTATTTGCATTTTAATGATAAACAGTCATTCTGGAGCACTACCAAAACCTCTAACTGGTATTTATTTTGACTAGATATTTGTATTGCAGCAATGCCCCACTAGGTACCATTTACAGACTAAAACTCCAGCATACTAGGTGCTGCATAAACCCAGTAAACTATTCTATACCTCAGGAAATTCTGCTCTAAATCAATAGACAAAGGCATGCAGAAGGATGATGTAAGGGGCAAGCCAGAGGCAAGGCATGGATAGTACAGCTGAATACTGACAGGGCTATCATGGGAATAAAATGCAAAGATGCTATTAATGTCACATCAAGGTTGCACAATCAAAAGATGAAAAATGCAAACATTAAGATTCCTACTGCAACTTTCCGAAAATGACAATGCAGTGATCTCATTTACTATAAGGCCTATAGCTGAAAACACATTTAGAGGAGTATTTTAAACTAGGTGTTGAAAAATACCACGGAATGAGAACACGATGCATGTGCAGAAGTGCTGAATTACCACTGCTGTTGGATCTGTAGGTTTCTGGTTTTAATAATAATTCCCAGAATATCTGGGGGATTTCAGAGAAGAAACAGGGAAAATGAAACACGGAGAGAAAAATGCAAAATCTTTGGCAAAAAACCAAGTTGCCCTAACTAATAATAACCTTCTGCTAGCAGCTGTTGATACAGCCTATGAAGTGCGTGCTTCCCAGTTCCCTTATGCCCTGGAAGTGTGAATGCTCAGACACTGAAATTTCCCATGCTCTGTCTATAGGGATCAGAACTTTTGTTAACTTCCTGACGGTTTCCCCCATCAAGCTTATTCAGATATCCAAGAATGTCAGTGAGAACCTTCCTGGTGACTGCCTTAGATTTTGAATCTGGGATAAACATGCCATGTTTCAGATTGGAAAATCAATACATGAACAAAGTTAGGCAATCTAAAAAACATTCTCCCACATCACTCAAAGCAGCAAATGATCTCCCCCGTCAAATGACAGAAAATAAAACTCACCTTTGTCTAGAGAAGTAGAAACCTTGCAAGCCTGGGAAATTGTACCTTCAAGGGCAATGTGTCAGACTATTATGAATGAGAAAAACAAGGCTATAGTACCAGGGTTTACTACCAAACTGGCTGGCCTAATAATGTGCAGGTCTTGGTTGCACAGTCTCTGTTTACTGACACTCATATCAAGAAAGAGTATTAACAGCCAAATTCACTGTAGTTACAGAATTAGGTAGGGGGTGAAGAAAAGCAGCAGCAGGCAGTAAGAAGTCCTCTTTTTTTTTTTTTTATATGAATAAAGTTTTATTGAATTTTAGACAATTAGAAAGAACAAAGAGAGAGGAGCAAACAGTCTCATGGAGGGTAGGAACTAGAAGAGCTTTCCCAGGAAAGGAGGGGGCTTGCTGAGGGCAGTGTTCATGTAAATATCACACGGTGGTTGTTGCAAAAGCAGAGAGAATGTGTCTGGGCTTTTCTTTGATTGTTATTGTTTTTGTTTTTTACCTCCCACATTAGGGTTTCTAAAGCCACTCT